TGAAAACTCTCTGCCTAAACTCCCTGGCTCTTCCTGCTCTTCGTCTCTTCATCATGTGACTCCTCGTGCATCTGGACCTCGCCTTAGTGTGATGATCCATCGTTTCTCTTTTTGTTTTCTTCAAGTTTATTTATCTTTTTCGAAGTCTCCTCTGTTCATGTCTTCTCGCGAAGAAAATGAACACAGCCAGACTGGCAAGCTTCACCTACAAGGACATTCAAACACGCCGCGCTCGCTGGACGAACCCGAACGCTCGGCAGCCACATGACAGAGATACACGCACACGCCTTTTTCAGATCAGCCCCACCAAAGAGCTTTACCTGTGCAAGTATCCGTTTTACTATGCTTATTTAAGATCTGTTGATTCTTGGTGTCTAAAAAGGTTCTGTGTCTGTGATGAATTTTGCCAAACCAGAAGATCTCTCATCTTCTTTCTCTCTCTCTCCCTCCCAATCTTTCTCCCTCGCAACCTCTCTCTCTCTCACTCCTGTTTGTTACTCGTCTGTCTCGTTAGTTTTACTGTTTAACTGTACATACATGTATCCTGTGTTCAAATGTAGAATTCTGTATCCGTAGTTTCAATTATTAAAACCATATTCTTGATTGATCCTGAAGTGCTCATTTACAAGTCAATGAAATGAATATCTCATAGCTACAAAGCTTTACAAGTTGTTACTATATCAGTAACGTAAATTTTATAAACACGAGAAAATTAATGTTCACGGCCGGAACATTGAGATTTCTTGGAGTTTATAAAAAGGGACAACCTTGTTGAGAAGTTGGTAAGTTAATCTTACGGCTGTTTGCTGGACAAACCGATTGTTTGATAAACTAAATTAATTCCCTTAAAGTTGTCTCATATAATCGATCTGTAATGAGACCATTGATATATGAATGAGGAATTATAATTCGTTATGATTTACCATTCATACATACAATCGATCTATTTTCAATTTCGATAATTTAACTGTAATATGCAATATATTAATCATATTCATGATTAATTATTAAAATTCCCTATGCATAATTTGAGCTAATTAAGGCACATCTCAATGTGGCTACAGACTTAATCAGCGTGATTTACTGCAATGTCAGAACCAGAACAAAAGTGGATGTTTCTTACTTGTTCAGATGACATTTTCCGGTGAAATTTATTATGTTAGTCATACTTCCAAAAAGAATAATCTGTGATTCTGAATGCCAGTATCCACACCGGCGCGGTGACTGACAGCTGCACACTCTCCTCAAACACTGTGTTCATCCGCGCTGTGCCGTGTCGAGGTACAACTCACGTAAAGTTGATAATTCCGCGAATGACTAATTGCAGATTTCGAACAGAGATGGCGACAAAGAGGAATAAATGCGGACTGCAGCTTTAAAATAGCTTGAATGTAACTCTACACCCTTGCTTCATTTAGCTAATAATGTGTTGCTAATGTTACACAAACCATGTTCCTGTATCCTGTTCCTCATCTCAGAGTCTGACCGCTGCCTTCTAACAATCATCAGAAACGCTTTGAACAACTCAGCACGTCAGTGGAGAAAGGCATATACAGTTAGGTCCATATATATTTGGACACAGGCACAATTTTCACACTTTTGGCTCTGTATGCCACCAGAATAAAATTAAAATGAAACAATCAGGATGAATTTGAAGTGCAGACTTTCAGCTTTAATTCAAGAGGTTGAACAAAAATATCAAGTAAACATTTTAGAAACTGCAAACATTTTTATACACAGTCCCCCCATTTTCAGGGGCTCAAATGTAATTGGACAAATTAATATAATCACTAATAAAATGTTTATTTTTAATATTTTGTTGAGAATCCTTTGCAGGCAATGACTGCCTTAAGTCTGGAACTCATGGACATCACCAAAGACTGGGTTTCCTGCTTTGTGATGCTTTGCCAGGCCTTAACTGCAGCTGTCTTCAGTTGTTGTTTGTTCGTGGGTCTTTCTGCCTTTAGTTTTGCCTTCAGCAAGTGAAATGCATGTTCGATCGGGTTGAGATCAGGTGATTGACTCGGCCATTGCAAAATTTTCCACTTCTTTTCCTTAAAAAACTCCTGGGTTGCTTTTGCGGTGTGTTTTGGATCATTGTCCATCTGTACCGTGAAGCGCCTTCCAATCAACTTTGCTGCATTTGGCTGAATCTGGGCAGACAGTATATTCCTATACACTTCAGAATTCATCCGGCCGCTTCTGTCTTCTGTCACATCATCAATAAACACCAGTGATCCAGTTCCACTGGAAGCCATGCATGCCCATGCCATCACACTGCCTCCACCATGTTTTACAGATGACGTTGTATGCTTTGGATCATGAGCTGTTCCAAGCCTTCTCCATACTTTTTTCTTACCGTCATTTTGGTACAGGTTGATCTTAGTTTCATCCGTCCAAAGAATGCTTTTCCAGAACTGGTCAGGCTTTTTTAGATGTTTTTTGGCATAGTCTAATCTGACCTTGCTATTCTTGATGCTTATGAATGGTTTGCACCTTGTGGTGAACCCTCTGTATTTGCTCTCGTGAAGTCTTCGCTTGATTGTACACTTTGACAATGACACGCCTACCTCCTGGAGAGTGTCCTTCACTTGGCTAGATGTTGTGAATGGGTTTTTCTTTATCATGGAGAGGATCCTGCGATCATCAACCACTGTTGTCTTCCGTGGACGTCCAGGCCTTTTTATGTTGCTGAGCTCACCAGTGCATTCTTTTTTTCTCAGAATGTACCAAACTGTTGATTTGGCCACTCCTAATATTCCAGCTATCTCTCGGATGGATTTATTTTGTTTTTGAAGCCTAATGATGGCCTGTTTGACTTGCATGGAGAGCTCCTTTGAACGCATGATGTAGGTTCACAGCAATAGATTCCAAATGCAAATACCACTCTTAGAATCAACTTCAGACCTGTTACCTGCTTAATTGATAAAGAAATAACGAAGGAATAGCCCACACCTGTCCAAGAAACCACTTTTGATTCAATTGTCCAATTACTTTTGGTCCCTTGAAAAAGGGGGGTGGCTACTCTCAAGAGCTGTAATTCCTAAACCCTTCCTCCAATTTGGATTTAAATACTCTCAAATTAAACCTGAGAGTGTGCACTTTCAGCCCATATCCATTATATAACTTGAATATGTTTTGGTAAATATCTGAAAAAAAAAATTTTGTGCCTGTGTCCAAATATATATGGACCTAACTGTAGTTAGTTCATCATAACATAATATACATTAGGCCGATACGCCCGCTATATTGCTAAATCTACCCAATTTTTCATATCAACGAAAAAATATACTGGGATAACCTGGCTTCTCCCAAGACTCCCCTGCTAGTTCCCAATTAATGATATGCTGAAGCCCGTCGGCACGTTGATCTGATTGGTTACAAGCTAGTTTGTGACATCAGAAACACCAGCGATTTCAAACCGCGTTTTTGAGACTGTCTTTGGTTCACTGCAGTTTAAAAAAGAAAAAACTCTGCAATGGTGTACAACAAAATGGTGTGGTTGCACATGGTTTGTCTTAAGGCATATTAATAACACCACATAGACATATAAACAACATTAAAAATTTGATTTTCACCACAGGAGGACTTTAAAATAAATACAGCAATATTCCATGATAAAATAAGAATTGTCAATATTGATTTCATTCCAAATCTGTGTGCATTTGTGAAGGTCAGGTACAGGAGGTTGAGGCAATATCCGAAAGGTCACGACTGCCTAATAAAGTGACTGTAGGTAAACAGTAAACACACAAACACCCACAAGTTTTCAGAAGTGGAATGAATCACAGACTCTTGCGATACTCAGTTTCATTGACACCTTAGGAATGTGGTTTGCTTGGGCAAGGTGTATTCACATACCTAACCTGACAATGACACATTAGTTAGCAAGTCAAGGCGGTGTTGGGAATCTCCATGTGCACGCACATAAAACAAGGCAGTGATATCTTGATTTACTCTCAGGAATGTGGCCTGATACTCATCTACATCTGTCTACTTGCCCTAAGCTACACACAACATAACACCTCAGGAACTGAAAAAGCAATAACTGCTCAACTGTCCATGTGGCAAAGCCCACTGTACATTACTGAACCCTTTTACCCACTTTAACACCGGTAACGGACAACTTCTATGACATTTCTTTATATGAAACGCAGATTAAAACCCTGTTGCTGCAATTAAAAGCCATGAAACCTACACGAGTCAATATGACAATGCAAATAAGTCAAACATTAATACACACATACCATTTGATAAATCCACAGGCCAAAACCAGTCATTCTTATTAGAAAAGAATATGTAAAGATAATAAAAGAAAGATAGAAAATAGAAAAGAAAGAAAGAGAATTTAGTAAAGAAGATCAGCAAGTTGTTACAGATGTGTAACATGCTGGTGTATAAAGCCCCAGGGAACAACACGAACTCGTTCATGTCGGAGCAGAATATGTTAACACACTTAAACAGATGCAAATATCTGGAAGCAAAACCTTCACAAAACGTCAGTTTACTTTTAATGAGAAATCAGGCTGGGGAAATGACAGCTGAACAGCCCTAAAACTCAACACGAAAGGCTTCAATCTCTAAAACTCTAACGTAAATCAAAAGACAATGCTACACAACAATTCACAACAAAACCAACAAGATTCAGCAGCTGACACTCTGACAAATCAGGGCTGTGTCCTAAATCCTAGTGAGCTGCCTATCTAGACAGCATTTTGGGGGTTTATTCTGGTTCAGATAGGTAAATCAGTGGGTTTTGTCAGTGATCGCTGTTCACTCAACAATGTTGTGTAGGAAGACAGCAGCTCGCTATGTTACGAGGAGCAGCCGGAGTCTGTAAACAGATGCTAACAGGCTAAAGCTCCAGCTAACTGCCAAACTAACTACTGCTAAGTTAACGGCTCGAGAGCTTTGCGTCCGCTGGAAAGCATTGCTTTAAAACCTCAGTTAGTGCTGTGAAAGAGTCCAAAGAGCTACTTTTAAAGAAGACAATCGGGTACCTGTGATGATGGCTGGATTTCGCTTCTCTCGGACAGGGATGATGATGATGATGATGCTGTTGCTGTTGCTGCTGCTGACACTCAGCCGGAAGAGACCGATATGGGCGATTTGATTGACGTGTCTCTTGGCCAATTATATTGCGTGCATTTCGTCGCCTGACTGGTTACGTCAGGGCAAGACCTTTTGCATTGTAGTTGCACAATAATGTTAAACTCAACAATTTAACATTAACCCAAACAAGAGTTTGGGTTAATGTAATTTAATTGAATTCATTATATATATCGCTTAAAAATTATAGGATCAATAAGTTACCTACTAATAAGTTTTTACATTGCTTTAACTTATCAAAATAAGTCATCTTTTTTATGTTACAAAATTCATTTTTTAAAGTCAGTTTAATGTAGATTTAAGTTGAAATGACTTAAACATCCAAGTTGATTTTACTTAAAAATTTAAGGAGGTTATTCCAGTCATTTATTACACGTTATCTTCAAGATATTGAACCGAACAGCACATACAGATGTTGAACGTATCTGTATACTGTACATATCAAATGTATAAGCATATGTTGCAGTCTGTTCTATGAACCACCTTTCAGGCTATTCCTGATTCATTTTAGCATGTTCATTCCAAGAAATTCATAACGTTCATCAGTCATTACCAGAGGCCATTGACGGAAATGTAAAATAGTACAGAGAAACCAGTTAAAATAGACCTGCTTGCATGCTATGATCCTCAAATATTGCAATCTCTATGAAAGCATGAAAATTACTTAGCGTAATTAAAAGCTTGTACATTAAAAATATAAATGTTCTCATTTTGTTTTACGTCTCTCGTTAATAATGAGGCAGACGTCACTGATATACACTGTTCCCAGCAGCACAGCTGACCTGCATTGACCTCACTGCTTAATTGCCCTTATTGTGTGTGTGTGTGTGTGTGTGTGTGTGTGTGTGTGTGTGTGTGTGTGTGTGTGTGTGTGTGTGTGTGTGTTGGAAGCCTCTGATGCTGACAAAGAGGAAGAGCCCTGAAAGGTTGAACCCAGAAATCGCTTTGAGATATTGGCCAAAATACACTGTATTACACTGTATTGTCCAGTTATGTGATACATTTGTGCTGTCTAGAGCCTAAAGCCACACATTCAGACCAGCCAGTCATCTGTCAGCAATAAAACATGATGGAAGGGGCAAATTATAAACTTTTCATCAAAAACCATCCTGCCGATTTGTCTGCCATCAGGGTTACAGTTATTGCAGTGTTGTTCCAACAGATCTCAGAGGACTAAAGACTGGACTACAGTAAAATGGACTCTTTCATACAGTATTACACACGCCAATTACACCCACTGACCCTCTACAACATGGCTTTGTTTCTGCTTGCATAGAAAGAACTGCCCTCTCATCACTGATGCATGAGTCTGACTCAGTTTGTGGGAAGTGAATCTTTATATCACGGTCAGACAAAAGTAACATCAAAGCAAATGTAAAACACGATTGGCATAACACAGTATATACAATACATTTTATGGTATAAGATTAGGGTAATTTCTTTGTTAAGGTGTCTGTGCTTTTATTATCCTCTGCCACTGTTTCAACCTTTGAAGTGATAATCGTGTTGTGCTTGCTTAATGTGGCCATAAGGTGGCACTAGTGGTTCAATTAACACACAGAAGATCTGTTGAATGATTTGCTTTTTTCTACTTTATTCTGACACAGATGTTGTAATATCCACCCGTGTCAAGATATAATTGCTGTATGCACACTGAACATTAATGTCTACTCTATAACAGAAATAGCTAAGAAACCTATTATCCTTCATAACAACACCAAAATTGGACCAACACATCTATCAAAAAAATAAAAAATATTTAACAAATGGTCATGGAAATTAGATGCTTAACTTTTGGAAAATTCTGATTAACAACCTACACACACACACACACACACACACAGGGACGCAAGCATCTTTATAGTAACAATTATCACAACTAAGAAAACATGAAAATGCTGTGGGTTTTCGGTTTTATTTTATTTTATTGACACCAAATCTTAGATTGATACAGCATGTTCTTTAATTTTCTACTACCATGCTTTTACTTGTTTAAAAAAAATGTATTTAGTTAAAATAATGATTAAATTAAAATAAAATGAAGTAAAAAAAAAATCTATTATTTTTAAATAATTTATCTTTTTTTTTCTTAAAGTATTTCTTAAGTAAAACTATGTGTATGTATAGTCAGTACAGATGATGCATTTCTCATCAGACAAGACCAATAAGGATTTATGAATCCACTTTCGTCATTGTCGCCACCACAACCATTACATGGAGACGAGAGGACTGCGGGGTCCCAGTCCTCCCTCCTCAGAGACATGAGCAACAACAGCAGGCAAACCTGTTAGTATCATTATCACAGATATTTAGGCCAAGTATATAGGACAGGGGACTAAAATACTGTTGTACATTAATTAAGCCCACCACGAAGTAGAATATGTGATATCCAGCAGATAATGTCTGTCTCCCTGTGGGTTTTGCATTCCTCAGTCTAGTGTGGCAAGGCTGCTGACAGCCATAACAGTAACAAAATCCCTAAACGTCTCAACACCGCACAGATAATTGCTGTCTTACAGGAAATAAACGCAGTCCATTTTCCATTATCCATTCAGAAATACTACTATAAATTTGTTTTGTCAGTAGTGTCGTGGCAAATAATGCCAACAATCTTGCTCTTCTTGCAGGATCTATCCCAACAGATTTTACAATGTAAGATGTAATTTGCTCTATTTGTTAATAAAACAGCACAACACCACTGTTAATAAAATAAAACACTGCATGGACACAGGAATGAACCAACCGTGGATGAATCAATCGATCAATAAAAGATCAAGTGAAGACTCTCTGTCTAAAGAGGATTGGGACAAATCCCCTTCTTTCATGTGGCAATGAACGCCTCCGTTAGCACAGATCCCAACCAGCTCCTCTGTCCTGTCTCCAGCAGGGTGTTCTTGTGGGTAAACCCATTAACTGTGAGCTCATGTGAAGTTCGGGGAGCGCCACCTGTGTGAGGGGTCCCAGAAGGGGCCCGAGTGTTCGGCCAGGAGTGCAGTCTCTGAATGAAGCAATCATTACAGACTAATTCTGGTGCATGTGACCCGTGCTCACATTCCTGCCTCATCCTCCAGCCTCCCTTCCCACTGCTGGAGACAAGCCGTTTTCAGCACAGAAGAAAAGATATACAGGGTAGATCAGGGCTAGTTGTCACAAGGGTTGTATTTCAGTAAATGTAATATTTTGAGACAATGGTATAAATGCTTATTTTAATTGGCTACAGTAACACTTAATGAAGTATAAATGCAATAAAACCACATACATTAATACAATTAAAAGCCAACAATATTACATTATTGCTAATACAAATAAAATATAGAGTAAGTCAAGGAAGTTTTTTTTTCCAATTGTATTTCATATTTCAAAAAAGTGGTATTCACCAGAAACAGAAGGTTCCCATTGTAACAACTTACCCAATTTGCGGGGGTCAAAAGGTCAATTATGTTAAATAGGCTGTTAATGATATGTTTTTTTCTTAGGCAGTAATGATGGAAATTATCGATAGTTTTTTTTTTTTTTTTTTGCCAAGACTGGAAAATCAACATAAGAGAAATATTCACTAATTGTCAAAAATATGACAGCTAGGCCCGGTATCTCCTGAATCAGCCAAGAAAGTAGATAAATAGGCTAGAAACTGTAGATAGAAATACTGTATTATTGTTTTGGCCATACAGATGCAGCTGTGTTGGGGAGACATGAAACAATTAAAGGGATAGTTCAACGAAAATGAAAATGTTGTCATCATTTACTAACCCTCAAGGTGTTCCAAAACTGTATGAGTTTCTTTCTTCTGTTGAAACCAAAAGAAGATATTCTGAAGAATGTCGGTAGCCAGACAGTTGCCATTGACTACATAGTATTTTCTTCCTACTATGGAAGTCAATATAGCTTCACCTTCAGCTGTTTGATTGCCATGTTCTTAAAAATATCTTCTCTTGAGTTCATCAGAGAAAGAAACTTGAGGGTGAGTAAATGATGATAGAATTTTCATTTTTGGGTGAACTAACCCTTTAAAGATTAAAAGAACCCTTACTACTAAAGTTTTATAAAACTTGACTCAATAGGCTACTAGCCTACTGTATTTCGGGAAATCACTAAAATGATTCATTAGCCTACATCATCCAAAACAGCTGTCTAATAATAGTAATTTGTTTGGGAATATATGCCTACATTAGTCGCACTGTCAGTTCTAGATTCACTAAAGAAAGTCGACCCATAAAAAACATTCGAGTTGGAATCGGACAAAACATTCTGCTAATGATTCGCTTAAAAGAGTCGACTCATTCGAGTTATTCGTTTGGGAATCGGAATACATTGGTCGGGGCGTGTGCTGAATCAGTGAATGAATGGTTAGCGCAAATGACTGTTATTATAGTTCACACTTTATTGTAATATAGCTAGGCTACTGTAAAGAAAAGTTTCTGCCTTAAATTTTTAAATACAATCAACTTGAATCAACAATGATTGAGTCAATTCAACTTAAATTTAGGCCTATGCCTAAAAAAATCAATGTTACAACATATGTTGTCATAACTTTTTGATCATGTAATTTTTTGCAGGGAAAACACCCATTCGAATGAGATGAAGAGTTCACGCGTCGTGTGTTGGTGGCAGTAGTGCTCTGCTCTGCGCGCGAGGCTCTCCATTCGTCACGGTCGGAGGCTCGGAGCCGCTATCTGGGCGGGGAGAAAGAAAGAAACCTCACTAAAGCTCACTAACACTCAGCAGAGGAGAAGCCGCGGTTCACGACTGAGGGCGCGCACGGGAGAATATCTCGCAGACGTGGTGAATAAAAGAAAATCGAAGAATCTCAATCCAAGCACTCACATTTTCTTGTGGATTTTCAACGGTTTTGATGTCGGCTGATCTGTTGTGAAGCGTTTACCAGTTCAACTCTTATTTTTTGGGGGGGGGGGGGAGTGGAGGTAACATTTCAGCTTCATTCGTGTCTTGTAAACGGAATGAATGACCAAGACAAAGGTTGACACCGGTTCCCCGACGCATTTTGTCTCGTCGAAGGAGAAGAGGCAAAAGCAGAAAATGGAGAGCAGCACCGGCGAACCAGAACAGCCGCCTGTGCAGCCGCTGCAAGTTAACGAGAAAAAGAAAACACACCGGGCACCGTCTCCAGCGAGACCCAAAGATGTGCCCGGGTGGTCCCTCACTAAAATCCGCGGAGGTATCGGCACGCCGACGCTGAGCGTTAAACCGGGAGCCATATATTTAGGCGGCCGCGTGTCCAGACGCAGCCCGGTTAACACCGGGAAAGAAACGAAAACAGAGAAGAGTAAACCGACCGGCAAGCCCGCGCTATCCGCGGCCGGTGCTCAGAAGAGCAGCGCGAAGTCCAACAAAAGCGCTCGAAGAAAAGTTTCGGACGCCAGCATCGGATCGGATGATTTAAGCAAGGACTCCGGCTGCGCTCCGGGGAAACTCTCAGCCACCGACAGCAGCTCCGAGCTCTCGGACTGCGCCTCCGAGGAGAACAAGGTCTCCACAGACGCGCTCAGCAGTGACACCGAGACCAGCAGTCGCGGGGGGATCGACGGTGATAAATCGGCAGCAGAACATGGACTATTGGACAAGAGTGGTCAAACCAAGACCAGCGTGGAGAAAGAGCGACTCTCGCTGGGAATGGAGACCGTAGAGGGGAGCGTCTCTCCCGGCGACGAGCGCTCGCTCACCTCGTTCGACAGCAGGATGCTCGCCAGCACTTCCCTGGCGTTTTCGGACCTGACCGAGGAGCTGATGGACGGGATGCACGAGGAATTAATCAGGGAAATAGAGGAACTCAGGTCGGAAAATGATTATTTAAAGGTAAGATAATGATTATATTATTTTATTATTGTAAAATTAAACATAAAAGATTCCAGTAAACATATATTTTCATGATTTGTTATCACAACTTTTTTTTAAATATTTTTTCAAATCAACTTAGTTAATTAATGTGGTTCAAATAACATAATATTGTGAGTTTCTATTTATTAAACCAATCTCCTTCATTGTATTAACTCAAAATTTTAAATAAAACAGATAACTTACTTTTTAAAAGTTAAACCAACAATGGTGTCATATAGCACTTTACCACTGTTTCTGCCAAAATGTCATATTGCTCAGTTTAAGGTTACAACTTGGATGTTATTCTAGTCCTTTGGCTGATGCCAAAAACCAAAAACATTGATCTCAAGAACATAATGCAACATCAAAACCTCAAAATAACCAACTAGAACCAAAATAGTATGCAAAAGGGGTTCAAGGGGTTCTTTTCAGAACATTTGAAGAATTTCTAAAAAAAAATTCCCCAAAGTATAGCCTATAGTAACACTGTTGTAGTTACAACAGTGAAACTGTAGTGCAATATTAGTATAAGCAGCTTAAACAAGAATTTTTTTATGCTCATGATTATGACAACCAACTAGATTGAAAATGCTGAATTACCTTATTAATAAAAAAAAAACATATAAAAGTGGTAAATTAAACACTATAAGGCCACTTAGAACTGATAGCCTATACTGAATCAAGAAAATCAAATTCATAAATTCATAAAACTGAGTAGAAATTACAGAAATTGCTGTGAGATGATAAATGGCTGGAAACTAAGATTTTTTTATAATGATGAAATGTATCACAATAACTGTTTCTTATTGTATTTGGTGGAAACTAGTTGGAGGGTCACTGTATTACTGCCCTATATCATTATCATTGTTCCTAAGGCAGACGTGCCAGTGTGTTCCCCATAAAACTGGAAATACTAATTTTATATTTATGTTGCAAGGCATATATTTAAGGTCCTTGTTTACTATTAGATGGGTTTGTCTTTTCCACAGAATTACTATGAGCTGAACAGTGATTCCTTTGTAATCTCGGTTTTCATAAACTATCAGAAGACCATGACGAAACCAAATCTTTTTCATTTGACATGCCCAATATATCAGCATTAAAAACGGCTAGTGTTTAGTTGCTCTTGCACTCGTGTTGCCTGAGTAATGCAGCTGTTTGTACAGATGCTGCAGCAGTCCACTGCGCCCGCGCCCACTTTTCACTCCATTGTTTATCCGCGCGCTGAGCACGTGACGCGCGCTGCAGTAGTTGACCTATATTCACTGGAAATGTGTGACAGCACGCGGTGGCCCACAGCATCTATCAGTGGGATGCATTTACCCCTTTGAGGTATAAATAGTTTATTTGTGTTTAGAGCCATGTGCGTTGTAAACATCGTGCTATTATGCAAACTCTAGGGTCTCTAGGAAAATCATAATGCAGCATAATGAATTTGATGCATATATTGGTTTTCACACCACACTTGATAAAAGGTCAGGGGCATCATATGCATTTTTTGAAAGGGTGCCAATGGCAGTCCAGACTTACCTGGGTAGATATTTTATCATCTAAACCTAATATGTTTTTTTAAAAAGCTTGCAAAATGCATAGTGATTTCTAAAATGATGCATTGTTTGTTTGTGTGTATATCAGGATGAAATGGAGGAGCTTCGCTCTGAGATGCTGGAGATGAGGGACATGTACATGGAGGAGGATGTTTATCAGCTCCAGGAGCTCAGACAGCAGCTGGATCAGGCCAACAAGACCTGCCGCATCCTGCAATACCGCCTGAAGAAGGCAGAGAGACGCAGTATCCGCGTGGCCCAGACCGGACATGTGGACGGGGAGCTTATCCGCACCCTGGAGCAAGATGTCAAGGTTAGTGCGGCACGGTATATTTATTACAGATAAAACCTACCAATCATATTCTGTTAGGTAACTGATTGTTATTGCTTGAGTTTGCATTTGAACTACCCCTTGTGAAAAAGAAAAAAGTGTACTTGAGTGCACTTCAAATCTTAACAGTTTGTTTTTTAGAAACTGTACTTGCAAGCAGGGCCGCATTAAGAGCTCACTGGGCCCCGGGGCTATGAGTTACTGCAGGGCCCAGCAACTCATTGGATAATTTGTATCCAAACCACAATGATTAAAAACGCATTTAATTTATAAACTTACATCATGATGTCTCAGCAAAATTTACATATTTCTACCGGATATATTATCGCCAGCCCTTTAGGCGAATATAGAGTTTGATCAAACACAAAAAGCAAGATCAAACATCCATCAAGTTAATAATCAAACTTACCGAAAATTTGTGGGGTCGACGATGACGCTGTGTTTTAAAAAATAGTCTAGACTCTAGAATGAAGTGAAGGGTGGAGGCGATTTATTGGTTGATGCGTAGCTATATTCTAATAAGGCGCAGGCACTCCAGGCAGCCATCTATAGGCCTATGTGCAGCAGCAGGTCGATCGTTCACAAGTTTATTAATAAATGTATTATGTTAAATTAAAACGTGACGTTTCATTTCACCATGCCCTGTCCTGCTGCCCACGGGGGTTTGATTGACAGGTGACCTGGCCAATCATAACGCCGAATACGCAATTTTGTCTGACAACAAAGCTGTCAGTAGATGAACGTCGGTGGACTTGAACTTGAAAACGGTATTGTTTAAATTATTTAAATTACAATATTTGAAAGTTGAGACTTTGTTTCATATCAACAGTAAGCTGCTCTGAACTCTCTCTCGTAGTCAATTGTGTAACGTTAGTCTTTGCCCCGCGATGTATTTTTCAGTGCGTGAGTGAGAACATGATGTATGTGACTCGAGCCGCCTGGCTTGTCACACAGTAACTAAAAAAGGCGGGTCTTTGCGAACGGTCACTATTATATTAATGATAATGATTCCATGATAATGCATGGAATATTCGGCAAAGCGCTACTAAATAACAGGGCTAATTTGTGGGGTGCGTTGCGTGGTAAGGCTTTGGCTAATCAGATGGCTAGTAGTCGGCCTATCTGATCCACAGCCAATCACGGGCCCCCTCCTTGTTCGGGCCCCGGGGCTTTAGCCCCGCCTAGCCCTATTGTTAATGCGGCCGTGCTTGCAAGTAATATAAGCGAAGTAAAAAGCCAGTTGCACACAGTTGAAGTTAATATAATATTTTAAAGTTAATATATTTGAAATGTACTAAATTGCAACCTCATCATTACAAATGTGTAATTAGAAATATATTTAAATACACGAGTTTCAAAGACATCAAAGTAGATTTTAGTTCACCATAAATGCTTGTACAGTACACTTGAACCATTTCAAGAACAATAGAAGTAATTATGAAATGACATATAAAAATGTACTTAAGTACTTTTTTTTAATATGAACTATATATTGAATAAGACAAATTTAACTTTAATACACTTCCATTTAATTGTAAATATCATGGAATTAAGTGTCTGAAATCATTACAGTCAGTTTGGACTTAAGCATATTCTTTTAAAGTACTTCTGAATCCCATAAGTGAATCATATACATATCCAATGATGTAAATGTCTCCAGTAGACTGTAAGATCATGCTTTAGCCTGCATGTCATGCACCACACAGGCAGCTGTCTCACATGGCTGTGGACACAATACTTCCTTTATCTGGTCTGTCAGAGGAAAGAGAAATAACCATGATGTCATTCCCATCCCCACTGTCTGTATTCGTCTTTTAAATGGCTGATGTGTATACAGTAACAGAGGGAATGAAAAGGAGGGAGAGTGATTTCCTCTGCCAAGCAAATGCTGTGGCTCTTTGTGCTATTGAGGCTGACTATGGTGGTCTTAAACAAGTGACATTGTCGCATACTTAAGTTTTACTACTCAGGACACAGCTGGTAAGGAGCAGAAGTTTTAACACACAATCGATGAGGCAAGGCAAGGGGGATGGTGTCTGGAGGAAAACATCACGGCCTCTGCTGAATTCTTTAACTGGTGACAGGAGTCTCCTAACACAGGGTCAATTGTCTCCCCACGCTACCGGCACAGCCAGGTCAAATTACACTGATCTTCGCAGCCCTTGTGCATTCAACTGGTTGAAATACTCCATTGCCACCGCTGTGACAGACACACTATGCTTTGAGGAGGAAGAACATTGTTTCTTTAAGTTCAGCTTAGCACAGCAACAAAGCACTGTGTAGATCTAAGTGCTAACTCAGATTTTCTTCTACCCTTACAGGCTTATGAAGATAACTAGTGCTACATCCAGTACTTTGAAATATACTTTGAATAGTTGTCACACATGCTACAGTATTTAGTTAATTTTTACAGTGGCGGATGGCCTATACAGTGTAAAACCAATATACTCATGACTGATTGGTCAGATATTTCCTAATATTCACCATCGTCCATGGCTATGCTGTTTGGCAGACCGCTCAGCCGACTTTCATGTCTCTTGTTTAACACCAATGCTCTCTCTCGTTTGATACAAACACAACTGCTGACATTTTTGTATCAGTTATTGATTGTAGTGAAAATGACCTTGAGGATTCTTGCAATATGCATCTTGTTTCTATTGATTGTTTTGTACATTATGACCTAAAACTAGCAGAAAAAAAGGTAACGGTAAAACTAACCGAAAGGGACCATGATGTTGAGCATATCATCCAGTCATGGATTATTTTGCGATAGACCAACTCACTATACATTACCCTGCCTGTTTTTTGGCTTACTTACCAAAATATATAAAGATTGGACTTCAAATACTAATTTGAGTTAAAAAATATTGTATTATGTGAAATCCACTGCCCCAAAATGATGCCATTGTGGAGAACCATGTAATTACCATACAGCTATATATTTGCACGCATATAAAATACAATTTAATGATGACATTTAGAAAATTCTAAAATGGAATATTTAGAATACACAACATGTATTCATTGCATTGTTTATTATCCATTGACAAGACTGTTGGTAGATTTGGATCTACTGGCTTATGTTCTATATGTTAAGTAAAACCCTTGATTTTTGTGATACTTTAACTTTCTAAGGCCCAGATGTTAACGCACATGACCCACTTATCGGTTGTTTCCCTAAAGAAAAAACCTCATTCAGAGGTCAGTGATATTCTGACCAAGAGGCTGTGCAAGACAAATGTTTTTTTCCCCTTGGACTTACTCTGTCATAAAAGAGTTTCCCATGTTCAAATTTTTCCCATCTTGCTTTGGTCTCTCGGGACCGAGGGGGAGGGGATGATGTCATGGTCAGGAGGGGGTAGGGGTGAAAAGGGTTGATGGAGGATTTGAATGTTTGTAAGATCCCTGCACCATTTCCTGCTCTCTGAAGCACTGGCCTCATTTCTCATCCAGTGAGAGCAGCGTCTCCCAGATCTGTCAGGGGAAGGATGGAAAACAGCTCCACACCTTCTCATCAGCTGCTCTGGCTTATTAAATAGGATTTGGAGAAGTACTGTGGTCTGTAGCTTCCTCTTTCCCTCTGTTACCCATCTGAGCTTCTTCTCCAGTCATGTGCTCATGCAAAACAACAGCTGAGAAACAGAGACAGAGATTACAGCTGTAGGAGACAAAAACGATCTAAACGAGATCTCTTTTGTTCCTAAAATCTCGATAATCTACCGCATTAAAATTTTATTACTCCTATTATAATCAACGCCTGTGTTATACAGTTTGCAGGTTGAATATCTGAACATGCAATATATCAAAAGAAAGAACAGAGCCTCTGCTTTAACAAAAAAAACAGTTTTATTCTAGCTTAATGCATTCTTTTTTTCATCCACACTTGAATGTGGGTAAGTTTCATTAAAAAAGCAATATTTTAAGCAAAAAAGCTGAGAAAATCGCATTTTTATCAAAAGACTACATCCAGATCGCATTCAGAACGATGATCAAACCATAGATGGAGTAGATCGAGTCCATCAATACCCCTAATGCTTGCACAGTCCTAAACCTCGTCCTGGGTTGACACTTTATTCTGTAACATAGGCAGTTTTGATTTATATGCTGTTTAATGTTGGTGATGATCGCATTATTTTACATAAGCATCTGCTTTCATATGACATCGCTTGTTTCTGCTTCTTCTTCACATGTGCTTTGATCAGGAGATTCAGTACTCTTTCAGAAGTGTCACAGCGCCCTCTACCGTATAAAAGTGAAAACACGGAAAGCTGGAAAATTCCAATAGAATCTGTCTGCAGCCTGCAAGACTTCAAGTTACGCCCCTTCAAGTTACACTCACTTCAAGTTACGCCCCTTCAAGTTACACCCACTTCAGGTTACACCCATTTCAAATTACGCCCCTTCAGGTTACGCCCACTTCAAATTACGCCCCTTCAGGTTACGCCCACTTCAAGTTACGCCCCTTTAGGTTACGCCCACTTCAAGTTACGCCCCTTCAGGTTACGCCCACTTCAAGTTACGCCCACTTCAGGTTACACCCCTTCAGGTTACGCCCACTTCAAGTTACACCCACTTCAGGTTACACCCACTTCAAGTTACACCCACTTCAAGTTACACCCACTTCAGGTTACGCCCACTTCAGGTTACGCCCACTTCAGGTTACGCCCACTTCAAGTTACGCCCACTTCAGGTTACCCCCCTTCAGGTTACGCCCCTTCAGGTTACGCCCACTTCAGGTTACACCCACTTCAAGTTACACCCACTTCAGGTTACGCCCACTTCAAGTTACACCCACTTCAAGTTACACCTACTTCAGGTTACGACCACTTCAGGTTACACCCACTTCAAGTTACACCCACTTCAGGTTACGCCCACTTCAAGTTACACCCACTTCAAGTTACACCTACTTCAGGTTACGCCCACTTCAGGTTATGCCCACTTCAAGTTACGCCCACTTCAGGTTACGCCCCTTCAGGTTACGC